AAAGAATACACGCTAAAATATACCCGCAAAAGTCTGAAACTTGACGGATCAAGTTGTAACTACTCTCAAAAATTTTATTTTACTTGTTACATTTCTGTGCTAAAATTTCAGGTCTCAGCTCCTAGTACAAAGAAAATAAGAAAAGGAAAACAGCTTTCTACTTGTTTTTTCAACGGCGGAAAAGGGAGACGCTACCTCCGGAAAAGGTAAGACAACCCCTTCTCCGCCATTGAAACACATGCAAAAATCAGTTTTCTTTTTTTCGCAGTTGAGATAGTGCAACCAGCCTCTGCTGCGTCGCGCGATGACAGCGCAGCAGAGGTTGGTTGCACTATCTCTCCACGGGGCGCGGTGCTGCTGGGGCCGAGATGTGCTCCGATAGCAAACCGAAACTTAAAAACCGGTCGAATTTGCGCGGTTTTTCAGAAAGCCGTAAAATGCTTCGCGTGCCTTCTATTGTTCTGAAATTTGTGTATTTAGTGCTTTTTTGATGATGCTGAGCAATTTTTTAATTTAAACCATGCCCTTAAACACAATACAAAAAAGTTGATTGCGCAAAAATAATTCACAACTTAATTAACCCGGACTTCAATAATTTTCCTAAATGGGCCCCTGGACCAGGACCAAAACGCCACAAGCCTTTTTTGTTTTGATGAGTATTTTCTCTATATATATATATAATAAACGTTTGTCTTCATGCATATACTAAATCTGGCTTGGCGGAGAGTAGACTGATTAACTGTCACCATTATATGACATCATTCCACGTAATAGAAAAAAAAAAAAGGAGTGCGGAAACCGTGCGAATTTTACGGAAAGGCAAAGGCCCACGCAAACAGATGTTCCCGCATAACTGACCTTCCATAGCCTTCAATATTTAATTAAACAAATAGGACATAAAAATAGCAATTTAGCTTAGACCTGCCACTTTTATTTTCGTTGACACTTTTTGAGGACAAAGTTACAATTGCAGATTCAAAGCTAATTCATTCGGGTTACACCAGCTCATACAATTTTCGGGGACGTTCTCAAATACATAGCTTTGACTGACGTAACTCGGTACCTAGAAATTGCGTCCTTTGCACATGTGGTCAACCTTCAACAGCACGTATAGCACGGTTTGCAACGCTCGCGAAAGCGACATACTTTCCACGGTATTATTTGGACCCTTAGTACCTTGGCATGGCAACCAGACTGACATCACGTGAAAACTATATAGTGCATCTATTATTTTTCGCATTTTTGTCATCTAATTTCGAAAGTCGACGCAAGCACGCAGATACTGCCGCCAATGGCCGCATTCGTAAGCGGCTGCCTTTCTGGACTCCAAACGTAATAAGAGAGCAACGTCGACGTAGGCGCGAAGCGATCACGCATATTCCACTTTAGTCTGCGATTCTCCCGTGCGGCGGCAACCGGCCTGGCAAGCAAACGACGCCGAGCCCAGCATCCTTTTTAGGAATGAGAGCGAGAGGCGGTCCACTCGATCGAACGACCTTTTAGCGAACGAAAACGCAGCCATGACGTTTTATCGAAGCACACTTTAGAAAAGGGCGGCGTTCTTATGAGCGAATGGCTCTATGACTTAATAACCTAGCCTTACGTACTTTTGGCGGCAAACCGTTGCACTGTCGAGCCCGGGAATATATTCATTTCTCCCGCGCGATAGCAAGAAGTGACCGCGAGGAGCGCGGTCTGTTCGGAAGCCTATCTGCCGCCGCCTTCAAACAACCTACAGACGCTTTTAGGCAGCTGTGCATGGGCGTCGCCATAACTGACCTTTAGTTTTTGTTCCTTATTATTACGTTCGCTTCCCTTCAGCATTACCACTGCAGGACAGGTTATTGCCACTTTAAGTGATACCGCGTCCTTTTCCCCAGCATAGGCCCTTATGGAGGCTCGTCAACGCCCGCTTCCATGGCTCGGCATCTCGGTAAGACGCGAGAAGGTCGGCTATGGCGGCTCAATCTGGCGCGCGCTGAAAGCGTCTATTCGGTAAAACGTTTTTCGCGAAAACGTTCATTCGCTCAAATGATTCCTAGTCGATAAAATGTAATTCGGTGAAACGTTATTCGCTGGTATAATATGGACCCCAGCGAGAATACCTGGGAGTTCATGCTGTCTGAAGTTGATAATAATCTCTATTTGCAGAAAGTATGACCTTGGCCTGCGTGCTAAACTACGGAGAAGTAAAAAAACGGAAACAATTGGGATTTTGAAAAAAAGCTGGAACCTTGCTTTCTGCCTTATCCCATTCTCTTGTGGTCGTCTCCATTGTTGCACAATTCTGCCCCTCCTCTACACTGCTGCTGTCAGTGCTATCCACTGTCCCCCTCTGCTCACGCTGACAGAAACCCTGTTTGATTGACTGCCGTGCCCCGTAGACCTCTACTTTTCTCCCCTCCCGTGGGGTCAGTAAGTGTTGGATACCCTCTGTCTCTCTCCCTTGCGCTTTAATGTATTCCCAAAGCCCTTTCGCCACATTCCTATCTTTTTTATATATATTTCCATCATCCACTGCACTCCTGCACTCCCAATTTTGGCCTGTATTGAAGCTGATGCTTTCCTTTTTCGCTCTTGGAAGTTCTTCCTTTTGATGTTACTTCAACTGGCAAGGCACCATTTTCTTTGCCCACCTATGCTCCCTAGATGCCTTTTGGCGCAGCGATTTGGCTGCTTTGACCTCATTATCCCACCAGATTTTCTTTTGTTTTCGTTTTTGCTTTCCTCTTCGTTTAATTCGATGCTTCTCACATTTTCTTTAAAGATTCCTGTTAAATCCTAATATGTCAATTCTCTTTCTGGTTCTTTCGATAATATATTCTCAATACTTTTAGATACCTTTTTATTTTAGCTTCACTTAGTTTCGGCTTACCTGCTCGTTCCTCATGATGCTGTTCACGGCGCCCGCTTCGCAATTGAGATATTGCTGTGGTAATTCTTGAAACATTCTTTCGTCGGATTGGTTCGTGAATCTACAAATTCGTTTTTCAAGTCTGCCCGATAAATTAGGCCCAATGAATTATATTCACAAACATTCAAAAAACGCGGGGGCTGTAGGTTTCTAAACCTTTGGGACATAGTTACTGGATGTTTCAAGCCACATTATTCGAGTCATATAGCTCGACTGAAAAAAAAATATTTTTTTACATATCATGGTGTACTTTATCACTAAAGCTTTGAACTCCACAAATATTGTACTAAAGATTGGAACGCTGAAGGTGTACGTCAACAGTTGGGGCAAGCCAGCCCACTCGGTAACACCTGGTAACACTAAGATCATGCCGCGGGCATCGTTCTGCGCAGGGAAGCCATTTGAGTCAGACAACATAACTTCCTTTTGAGGTTTTCTTTTCACGCCGCGTTTGGAATAATTATGGCTATGCATTGTTTTTAAAAGTAATTCTTGCTTCGCCTTAAATTTAGCGGCCTGTAGCGGCTTGATTCCTATTGCGGACTTTTAGTTTTCAGACGGCAACAGTCGGGAACACGCAGACATGCGTTGAAACAATGCTACCCAGAAGACAAGCCCCCCCCCCCCTCCCCCCCTACCCCCAAATATCACTAGCGCATGCAGGCAGCGCCGCGTAACTTGCGTCGGCATCACCGCTAGCGCGTCTCGCAGCGTCACACAAAACAAGTGCGACGCTAGCACCCAGACGGACGCGCCTGCCGATTCGCCGCATCTTTCGTCGAGCTTCAGCGTCGCTTGTGGATAGCACGGCGATTCAGCAACGGCAAAGTCACGCGCAGGAGATTCTTTCTTCTCGGCGGGTTTGAAGCGGTGTGCACGACGTCGCTCGATCATCGGCCACGCGGCCGGGCTGTCGGCGGCAGCGCGACTCGCGTGGCGGCGGTGTCGGGCGAGCGTGCCTTGTCTCACTTCCGCCTCCGGCTCGGAAGCGGAAGCGGGGCCAGACATCGGAAACGGGTTCTTATCGGCTCCCTTAGGCACCCCGTATCCCCTTTGGGGAGCCGACACGGCGTCCCTTGTCGCCATTAATTGCGCTCGGCCGCCGCTGGAGCCACTGCCCTCCACAGCTTTGTTTCCTTCCTTTGTTCCCTCGTTTCCTCTCATTCAAAACTACAGTCGGTGTTCTTTGCTAGGGATTCTCTCAATGTGGAGCTGAGCGAGTTCCCCCTGTTTGAATCTGGATTCGCAGATCGAGTGTTCCAACACATGTAGCTGCCAATAAGGCCGCTGCCGCACTGCTCATACGCCCTACTAAAGACACGCTGCAGACACGGTTACCGTCTGTGGGCATCCCTCAAACATGCTCGGAGCAGCTTTATATTGCCTCTCGCGGGACCAAGCAAGCAACGCTCGGTCGCGGACTTCTGGAAGGTTCGCGTTTATTCTTACTCGGAACGTAACTTTTATAACTTCATTCTGCTTTCACGCGAAAGTGCATGTTCATTCTCACCCGGAACGTTTGACGCTCGAACTTTCTGGGCCGGATTTTCGAGATAGTGACGCACACTAAATAAGGAGCTGCGCGAGACCTTGTCGAGTCAGTCTCGCTCTCGCCTGCTGTTACGCCGCCAAATCGCCTCCCGCTTTCCTGCTGTCTCGACGTTCGTTCTTTATTTTGTTTGGCACAAGTTCGCCTTAAACCTTTAGTTTCAGCTTACGTTTGTCGAGCCCTTATCTATCCGTGACAATATATAACATGTCTGCAGACAGTTGTTGTATGACCAATGGTCATACGAGAAAGGCCTGAAGGACAGGGTCTGCGGACTGCTTTTTGTACGGCGTATTGTAGCCGCGGTTCAAACATATGTGGAGATACGACGGCGGGCGCGCATTTTAGCTTTTTTGGGGGATAAAAAAAAGAAAACAAGAAAAAATAATAAAGTACAATCTATCTAGGTTTGAATGTAAAACAGCTTCGTTGTGCACCTCTGCTGCTGGAGGCGTTTATTTGGCTTAGGTCTGACTCTTGGCGGTGTTGACAGGCGGGCAAGGGTAGGATCACGAGCGTGTGTGCTCATTCTCGCAGGGCTTGGTGAACTGCGGCTCGCGGTGTCGCTGCAGCAGCCACGGCGGCAGCGGTAACGGCGGCCACGGCGGTGGGGCGTCCGTGCCTCGCTGCCCCGACGGCGTGAGCCTGGTGCGGGACGGCTGCAACTGCTGCCGCATGTGCGCCCGCCAGCAGGGTGACACCTGCGACTCGGTTCAGGTGTGCGACGCCAGGAGGCAGCTGCACTGCGTTTATCCGGACAGAAACGCCTCGCAGGGCACCTGCAAGGGTGAGCAGGGGGCTCGCTGGGGACGGCGCACCTCATTGTTTACTGCACACCATGACGTAGCACACCAGATACAAGTAAAAAGTTACAAGGTCTCGTCTCCTCCAACATGAGCTCGGTATTTGTAAGACGGTCCCCCACGGGTGCTGTTTGTAAATGGCGCCGCGCAGTTCTCTATGTGGGGCGAGGGTGTGCAGGTGTGTTTGAAGGTCACCCCTTCAGCAAGTTCTGTCCTCCTATCCTTTTTGTGAGCGCAGTGTCAGTTTTGAAAATAGCCTCGTCTTGCAAACCAGCAAAGTTACAAAGTGAGTGGTGCGACAATATTGGCTAGGGTGCCTTCACGTGGCTACGATATGTTCCGCGATCCAAAAGTAAAACGTAGTGACAAGAGGGCAATGAACAAATACAGAGCCAGCAACGGCTCGATGGCCAGCAAGCGACGAGGATCAACACTGAAGTTGGCAAGCTTCTTCTCTTGGGTGCCAAAGGTATGCGTAGAATAATCGGAGATTCGCTTGTTTTTGGTTGCTATGATTTGATACACGGTATCATAAATTTTATAGAAACAGTTCAATAACGAGAACTGGACCCAACGATGTCTGAATGCACAGCATATATTTTAGAGTGGTACTAACAGAGCCCTCCAGTGCGCAAAATTTTTGAGCCCCCCCCCCCCCCCCTCCTTTCCCCCCTCCTTTAAAAAAAAAGTCAAATCTTGGCTACGGCTGTGTGTGTGTGTGTGTGTGTGTGTGTGTGTGTATGTGTGTGTGTGTGTGTGTGTGTGTGTGTAAGGGCGGGGGTAGATATGGTGGACGCTACATATTAATTATGAAAAGGCTAGTCTGAGGTAGTGGGGTCATTCTTTTGTCATTATTTTGAAGTTTTCGGAATGCTTCAACTTCAAAGAGACAGCGATTGATTGATTGATTGATTGATTGATATTATTATTAATAACTTTAATACCATGGATTATGTGTGGGTATGCCAACTTTGCAGTTACGGTCGAGGCGTGAAGATATGTAGATAGCATAATTAATTAGCCGAGTCTTTAGACTTGGAATGGCGAATGTCCGAATGCTGGACGCTTCGCGTGTTTGCGGGGGCAGCGGTTCGAAGGTTCCCGAAGAGAACCGCTTTTCTCGGTGGGGCAGTGGTGCAGGGCCAGGCGTGCCAGGTGGAGGGCGGTGGCCAGTACAAGGACGGGGCCACGTTCAAGCTGGACTGCCGCACCCAGTGCTCCTGCCAGAACGGCACGTACGGCTGCGTGTCCCTGTGTCCCCACGAAGGGGTCCGGCCCTCGGCAGAGTGCCGCAACGCCCGCCTCGTCCGCCTCCGCGGCAACTGCTGCCGGGAGTGGCTCTGCGACCACGACCTGCTCAAGCAGCGTGCGTATCCAACTTCTCAGGCATTTCTATACCTGCTCTGGCCGAGAAAGAACAAGCTCGCTGGTGCGACACGAAGGCTGCGGAAGATGCGCGCTCGGCATTGAGGCCGCCACTATGGCAGCTTGATGTGACGTCGGTGCAAACCACGCACAAATCTCCACCTAGCCGATCTAAGAAAAACAACAAAAATATTGGAGTTTTTTTTTTTTTCTTTTTAATAAAAACACCAACAAAGTGACACTGAACTCAGTAAACCAACGCATAGGAACGGGACGTCAGAGGATCCGGGGGTCACGGGAGGTGTTGCACTCTGCGCGATATACGCGTCTAAGTTAATTTTAAATAAACGTGTTTTTTGAGGTTTTAGTTGACCCTAAAAATTGTGTTTGATTGATTCAACTTTTTTTTTTTTTTTTTTGCTAAATGACGCCAATCGGCTTAAACTGCCTTAAATATTTCACGTTTTCTGCCCTCATGGCACAAGACTGGGCAAAGTAGAGGGGGGTGTAGCACTCGGCAGTCGACTCTTAACAGGTACCGTCGAGCGGGAAAAATATTTTTTTCTTAACCAACAATATTTTTTAATTGCGATGAGAGAAATGTTTGTTTCAATGTACAGCGTCTACCACGTGTGACGTCAGGAGGGCAAAATTTTCCATCTCAATTTGGCGAGAAATTGTTTCGCTAAATTCAGCGGGAAAATTTTACTCTCGTGACGTCACACGTGATGCAGCTCAACCCGGGAAAATGTTTCCGCTAAATTTAGCGGAAATATTTTCCCCTAAATTTAGAGGGGAAATTTTCCCGCCAAGTTTAGCGAAAGAAATTCCCGCCAAATTTAAGGCGCATATTTTACCCTCGTGATGTCACACGTGACCTTCCCCTCCCCTCCCCTCTTCCTTCTCAAGAGCTGCGCTCTAATTCAGCCTTACAGAGAATTGTAAATGTTTCATTTTTTTAGAGCGCAGCTCTGAGGCGCCCGTTTCCGGCTTGAGCGGCGTCGCCGTCGCCGTAACTGCGAGTTGCATTATGGGACTTTTCCCATATTGACGTCACACGTGACGTCACGTGCGACGTCGCGAGCGTCACGATTGACGTCACAAGGGTTATGAGTGACGTCACGAGGGTCACGAGTGACGTCACCCTCGTGACATTACACGGCGCCTGAATTGTGCAGGAAATGTTTCCGCTAAAGTTAGTGCGGAAATTGTTCTGCCAAAATTTCTCTGCCAATTTCTTCCGTTAAATTTAGGGGGGGAAATTTTTCCCTAAACTTAACGGGGAATTTTTTCCGCCAAATTTAGCGGGTGAGTTTTGCCGCTAAATTTAGCGTCGGAATTTACTGGGAAATTATGACGGTAAATTCCCCTCCGAACCCTTCCCTTTTCCCCTTCAAGAGCTGTGCTCTATTCGGCATTACAGAGAATTGTAAATGTCTTTCCTTTTTACCATTGAAATATTCAGAAAAGAACATAACATTTGATTAAGATAGCGGTCAGTTCTGAAACTTTGGCATCTAGTTCGGACCGCTAGCGCTATATTTGGGCAGAGATTGAGCATTTGGCGACGCGTAGCTTATTTTTGCAAATTAAAAAAAAACCTGTATCTTTTTCTTTTTTTTTTTAGCGTTTGAGAAATGTGTTTTGATTAATCGATTCAACCGCCCTGTGTAGAATGGCATTTGATGTGAAATGTATCCGGCGCGTCTTTTCCAAACGTCGCCTAGTTGCCTCCTGCACCGCTTCTTCCCAGCGACGACACGAAGAATTTATTTATTTCAAGTTCTTCAGGCTTCTCAATGCCGCGTCTGTGACTTCCTGATGCCTCACAATCGAAACAATGAAGTAACTTTTTCTAAAGACGGGCTCACACAGCTTATAGATCATCATCAAAATACAGTCTGCATACAAATTGGAACGCGAGTCAGCGCGAGATCCGTGCTTCGAAGGCCGCATGGCAATGAGCTAGGAGAGGAAACTTGGCACGTGGCATTGGATTGCGGTGACCCGTGTTTGCAGATTGTCTTTTCTATGAGCAGTGGGATGCCGTCTTTACAATGCAATTTGGCGTCAAAACAAGGTGAACGGTACAATGGCTAAGCATATGTCTGTAACATCCGCAGCCGAGACAAAGGCATGTCACGACACATTGCCGTGAGTTGAGATGCTATTCACATGAAACATTATTGAGCTATATGTTGGGCATTTCGTGAGGCCCAGATAAAAGCGTGGCCGCGAGGCTCGACACTGATTGGTTGATGAATGGGGGAGAGGAGTGAGGCGCTCGACGTTGATTGGTTGACGGGGAGGTTATGTGACCAGAGGGGTAGGCGAGGAGGTGCTCATCCCCCGGTGCGCACTGAGGGTGAGGAGCACAACAGTATGAAAGGCTCCGGAAGATCGCCATGGGTTTATCAGCCTGATTAGCGGTAGTATTGCTTCATTCTAGGAACAACTATCAAGTGTACACATAGTACGCGTTAAGCATCTGATGAAGAGCGCCGTAAACCTAGGCGTCTGGCAACTCAGAGTATCGCTAAACACTTGTGGCGGTGAAACGTTTCGCGTATGCAACACAATTGCTTAGCAATTTGCCATAATTTGTTTTATCATTAATCTGTCTCGGCAGTACTGCGGTGTAGTTCACCAGCTCGTCTGTTTTTTTTTTTCTATTTTTTTTTGTATAGCCTTATTTACATAGTTCGATTTTACTTTCGATTTCGCAGTTGCGACGTTGCTCGCACGTCAAAAAAAAAAAAGCGTGGAAGCAGCGGTGTTCACCGCCGCACTTGCGAAATCGCAAGTAAAATCATACCATGTGAATCCGGCTTAACTTCGCACTTTCGTTTCGTATAGACCACTTTGAAAAGGGGTTCTGGCGGGTACCATCTTCAGGGTTAGTGCGTACGGCGCGTGATAGCCACCTCGGTGGCTCAGAGGCGAGAGCGTCGGCCTACGGATCCCCATGTGGCGGGTTCGAATCCCGGCCGAGGTTCCCGCAATCTGACGGAGGCTTATTGTGGAGAAGACGCCGGGTAACCGAGCTTTCGGTTGCACGTCTAAAGATCCCCAGGTGGTCGGACTGAATCCTCAGTCCTCCGCTGGGGCGTGCCAGATGCCCGTCGTTGGTTTGGCACGTAAAACTCCCAAATTTGACTTTTCGGCGCGTGACCTGCTCGCTTTCCGAAGCCAGGAAGGAACACGCGCGCGCTAGGTTGTGGAGATCAAAGTTACTAGATCGAAGTCAGTTCACAAACTCCCTAGGACGCTTTGCGCCTTTTCATGGCGTGTCCGCTCGGTGGTACTTGCTACACTAGCAGCCGTGGACAAAGGTGGCGGAACCGGTGGAACGTTAGATGTTCCGGTTCGTGGAAAAAGAGTCATTTCAAAAATGTCCTGCGTTACCCGTGGGAACGGTGCCTCTGGTCGCGCTATGATCACTATCCGTCTCAAGACTCTCAATAAAATTCGCGCTTGGCGTACAATGCACGCACATTTGACGACATCAAATGTGCGTGCAATTGTACTGGATATTTATACAACCGCGTTCGCAACCGCTTTGCGAACGCGGATCCGCTTCCAGCGTGAATGCGTGGTAAAGGCCTGTTCACACATGCAGTGGAGTGCTACAGGCATAACGCTCACCTCGCGCTGAGCGCGTTCTGAGTGGAGCGTTCACCAGCTTAGTATCGCACCGTCAAAACTGTTGCTCATGGCAGGCGATAAGTAGCCAGAAGGATTAAAGTTCCCTCGATGCATCGCCGCAGCGGTGGCATAGCCAGACTGGCTGTCTATTTTGAATGCTCGAGCGAATCCGAGTGTTTCCCTCTTCCATTGATTCGTGGTGATACTCGCAGCGCGCGCCCTGGCCCGGGCGTCGTGCGAGCGCAGGGCCAGCGAGTGGGGTCCTTGTTCCGCCACGTGCGGAGTGGGCGTCTCTTGGCGTGTCGTGAGCGACTTCCACCAGGACCGGTGCGGGACCAGGAACGAGACGAGGCTCTGCACCGTGCGCCCCTGCGGCCCGGAGACCGCCACTGCCGGGACACGCCACAGGACAAGGGTAGAGGCCCTTCCATACGCTTGTCTTATTGTATTACACCGAGCTCTTGAGATCTCCCACGAGAACACATTGGCACGCCGGCGCCATCTATGAGGTGCACCTGGATCTGCATTTCACCAGAGCGAAGGCTCTGAGGTATTTGTGCAATCAGATGTTATCTATGGTCGTTTAAAACATTTTTAAACGTTTTCGGAGCCAAAAATTAATGATACGCGGAAAACTAGGAAATATACAGAAAAGGAAAGTAGTTCCTATAATGTATGTCACCATTGTGTTCTTTCGTCGATCCCAAGAGGTTTTGAGGCGGGGGTAAGCGATCGCGAGTGTGTTGAACACCTGTTTCTCGAGTGGCCGTCTGGGCCGGCCGCTGCTGCGCTCCTTCGCTGTCCCCCTCTTCAACTCCGTCGAATTGAAACAGCGGAATCTGTAACGAGCAGTGTCCTATCCGCAAAATCCGCGCACGAACCTCGAGAAACTTTAGGTTGCTTAGCGGGTTTCTCTTTCATCGTAAGCGCAGAAGCGTAAGCTTAGCCTCGGCGCGCCATGATTTTGGACTGCAGCGACTTGCCGGGGCACCTTTCTTGACGGGAACCGACGTTGTAACCCTGTAATGGCATACTACTCTTTCCAGCCGTGGCTTAGTTTCTACATTTTTATTAATATTCTTACCCTTTGAATTTCTATACGTTCATTCTATTTGAATAACGGTTTGGTCCGACTACCACTCCTATAGTTGACAGCCGCCTTTTAGGGCTCTCTACCTGGCTATCTGCCCCGTCTTTTAAAACTCTTGTCTCCCTGTTGTTGTATTTTAGAGCGCAGCTCTTAGGGGCCCGTTTCCAGCCTGAGCGGCGTCGGCGTCGGCGTAACCGGGGGGGGGGGGGGGTCACCCCCCCAGATCACGTGACCCCCCCCCCCCCGAGATCACATGACCCCCCCCCCCCCCCGAGATCACGTGACCCCCCCCCCCCCCCCCCGAGGTCACGTGACTAACCGCAGGTGACGTGACCCCCTCAGTACCCTTCCCTACTCCTCCACAAGAGCTGCGCTCCAATTCGGCGTTACAGGGATTTGTAAACGGCTTTCATTTTTTACCTCCATCTCTTTCTTTCTCTTGAAGGCGCTGTGTTGTGGCACTCCACAACTCACTCAAGAAACGAACCCACTTAGAAGCACGCTTAAAAGGCTCCAGTAGTGCGGTACGCGTAATACGATAACAGTTTGATATAAGTTCCCATTTCGACAAATGAGAAGGGTACCGGATACCGTTCCGGAATAGTCACGCAGACTCGGGGACAGAAAGGCGCGTCCACCTCTTTTTACTAGAGGGACGGGATGGCCATTTGAAGGTGATCTCGTTCGCCCTTCCCGTCGAATAAAAACTACCGATTAAATCAAGACCGATGATTGGTACTTCATGACTTGCGGGTCGGCACACACACGCTCGTGGACTTCTCAGAGTGCGGGATCAACCCCGCTTGAAGACAAGGCTTGCGCAGGACGTCATCGTTAGCGAATCCTTGACCCGCCTCAAGCGGCAGACGCGTCCGTCTTGGCGTCGCCGCATGCTAGCGCCGTGTCCGCTGTGAGACGCTGCAAGTCACGCTGGTAGCGAAGCTGGCCCAAGGTGGCGTGGATTCATTAATGAGGACGTTTGGGAGCGGGATTCAGGCGTAGGCCTTGTCTTCTAGAAGGGTTCCCGCCGCACAAGCCGAACGGGCGTGACCCTCCTTTGTCTTCCCCGCAGAGGAACCACTTGTGCCGTGCCACGGTGCGGGCGTCCTGTCCGCAGCACTACACGGACGGCGCCAACTGCACGTCCGTCACTCAGCATACTCCCAAGTACTGCGGCAGCTGCCCCGGGAGACGCTGCTGCTTCCCGGCGCTGTCGACGACGCTCACGCTACCCTTCCACTGCTTTGAGGACGGCGCGTGGACCACGCGCACCAAGGACGTCATGTCGATCGTGCGGTGCCGCTGCAAGCCCGAGTGCTAGCCACGTGCTCACTGCCTGCCCCGTGCTACTGGACACCGTGGGGGCGGAGCAGTTCGGCTGGGTGAACTCCGGGAACATCACGTCTTCGTCGCTACTGCTCGCGCGTCGAGGAAAGACGCCCGGCATGTGCCCTGGTTGGGGGAGACCAAGGTCTTCTCCTGGTAAAGCCCCTCGGGAAACTACACATATCGAGGGAATTTACCCTTGGGATGCGAGACCGGATATGTCGGAAAGCACCGTCGCCTCGCGTTCATTTAACGCATTTTAATTTGTCATACTCTCACTCTGATTGCAGGCTTCGGTGAGGTCACACCTGCAAACAACGAGAACCGAAGAACAATGTAGATAAAGTAGTGGACTCTGGCGGCCGTGGCTGAGCTCGTTCATGCTGCGCGCGTGTCAAAGGCGAGCCAGATTACGGAGTGTGTTGTTGTTTGGCAAATGAGAAGTGTGTGCTCGCTCTGAGTGAGCGCTGTGAATAGACCCCCTCCGAAAGTAACGCGACTATTGTTAAAGGGTCTGAAGCACCGCACAATGGCGTGGTAAGCGACAGAACGAAATGTGAGATTCTGAATCTACATAAGCTAGAAATTAAGCGGCAGAAGTAAAGTATCTGCTGTTCCAACATCGGCGGTTTATTTTATGTCCGCCATTGTGCAGGGACTTCTCAGCTTCCAACAGAGGGCACACTTTCTAAAGGGGTCTATAACGCGTTCAGATATCGCGCCCAGGGAATACCGCTTGTGGAGAGATAAGTACAGACAAGAAAAAAACTCGTCCAATTCTTCTTTCTTATGTAGCACTGGGGAGCCACGGATTAATGTCGGGTGGCTCGCCAGGGCCGGTAGGAACCATTTTTGTTTAATCGCCGTAAGGCGACGCTGTTGGCAATTTACGTCTCCGCGAAATTCCGTTCAAGTGGAAGGACAAACAGTCCCTACCATAGCGCCACTTCTTGTAGCCTTCATGAAATATTTTATGATCAGTTCGCCGGGTGGTTAGCTAAAGGTCCGGTTAGCGACGGATTTGTCAGATATCATTTATTACTCCTGTAAGACGACCAATCCCCTCTCCTATGTTGAATACCACAATATAAGGACCTCACTAAATACCAACTTCGTGATTTCCGTAGAACTTTATTTTGCTATAAATATTTGACATCAACAGGCTCGGAAGTCCTGCCAAAACGGGACTACAGAAAGTTTGTTTGTAGGCAAGAGACGGCTTGTGTTTGTAAAAATAAAATGTTCTAGAGTTCACATCGAAAGAGAACAGCGACAAGCACCGTTGTATATTTGTTTCTATTGTCTACTGCCAGCCTTGAGAACTACTTTAGGACTCGGGCAATTTCAAAACATTTCCTAAATAACGCATGACTAGGCTCTAGTCTTTAAGGAGCAAGTGTCGATCTCCAGTTGATGTGATGAGTACGTAATTTTCTCTCCTTTCGTTTCTTCCCTTCTTCTGTTCTCTTTCCCATTAGACAGTATAGAGTTTAAGGTCATTCACCTGAAGCAACCTCCATTTTTTTCCAATGATCCTCGTTTTTTTTAATACAAAGAGAGCTAATTGAACTTAGGTTACACTAAAATAATAGAGACACTCAAAGACATAAAAGTCCGTGGGGCAACCCCCCATACCCTATTCTGTATGTCCGCGAAAAAGGTAGAGACACAAGCAAATCTTCCACATTTTTTCTAGAGATACCAAAGAAAGGACTCACCAATGTCAGATGCACGTGCTTGTCACACGGGATTTCTTGTAGTGTGTCTACGAACAGATGAGTCAAAGGTCGACGTGCATGCAGCAGGGATTGACAAAGGCTCGCCAGGGGTACTCGTTGTATTCCCGGCATAAGCAAACACCTCGTGGACTAATTCGGTTTGGTCGCTACCTGTACGCCTCTTCATCGTCGGTCTCGGGTTCGAAAGTGCGATATGCGTTCGCCGCCTTCAAAAGGAGGGCCGAAGCGCGGGTGTGTCTTTTCGATCAAAGGGTGAACATCAAGGCACACTTGGTCCTTTCAACCGAGCTGCCTCGTGTGGGGCGACCGCAGCTCCTCTTGATCGTTATTGGTATTATATACAACGTTATTGGTATTATATACTCACGAACTATACAAAACAAGGTGAAGTTGCGGAATATTTGGAGAAAAATTCGCACTGCCTTGTAAGAATGGCAGAAGCTAACGTATATCTACTATGATGCGTTGGAGTGTCCGTCTCTTTGAAGCTGCGTGCATGTTTTCTGCGTGAAATGTGGTTGAGAAAGTGAGAGTAAATAAACAATGTCGTGGAGGGCTTTCCAGCCCTAAGACGGCGCCGGCTACTTGATAAAGAGAAAGCGTGGCAAGGTAATGAAGGAGAGTTATGAAGTTATATGGGAGGCGAGGCATGCTCTGAAGTGTTCGCTGAAAATGAAAAATGAGAATGGCAATACTATGCAGATTGATTATTTTTTTCACACTGCCAAAATAAGCCGCATGGGATGAACGCCGAAGCTTAAAAGAAAGTGTCGATAAAGATGATACGAATCACGGCTTTGTTATACCCCTGTCAGACGGGCACCTAAAACGACCTTTACGCCAAATGACCTTTAGTGTAAATGTCATTTAGGCAGTGCCACACGGCAACTCAATTGGCATTTAGCGTAAAGGTCCTTTTTGTGAACCTGAGTTCCCGCAACTCCTTTACGGCTGCTAAAGGCCTACTCTCGTTAACAGCGGTCAACACTAGAAAAGCGAATTGAAATAAAAGATCGTACTGATATATAAAATTAATGTTTGCTGTGGTTTTGTTATTGAAAAAGAGCGTATTTCACGTATATTCTGTACAAACCTTGCTCTACGAATACTTTTTTGTAGTCACGGCCCCAGCTACCTCGTCGTCGCCTGCTCGCGTCGTCCGCATCGGTACTTTGGTTTTCCTCCTCTCGATTTTCCTTACAACCATAGTTATCTAGCCTTTATTTCTCTACTTATATTGCTATCCGTACTGTATATATTCCATGTTTTTTTTGTACATATATATTTCTGTATTTCACTCTCGCGTCGTGCGATACGTCGAACGACGGAGGAGCGTCCACGAGTAGGAAGGGGTCGCCGCGCTTCCGTTGGAGCGTTCAGGCGACCTGGGCGCCGATATACGACTTTGAAAGGATCGTCTGGAGAACCTCCGACGCGTGCGATGAACCTCAAGCGCGAGCACGACACCGAACCGAACAGGGCAAAGGCATAGCAGAAGCACGGAAAGGAGCGGGACCACTGAGCAATGTTAGGACTAAGTGAGCGGGACACGTCCAGGGTTGCTGCTCATTGAAAAAAAAAAGAAAAAGAACACCTTGATTGGATTTGAAGTGGACTTTGTTGTAATCGCTCGACCAAACTCGTCATTTTCTCTTTTTTAATGCGTCGTTTGTTCAGAAAAACTTGAAAAATGATTTATATCACCAGAATAGTACTTTACCGGCGTGAACATGGTTTATCTGTTTGAACCGAGCTACGAGTCTTCAATTGCTGTAAACATCGTCTAAATTACATTTACTTGCGCTGTCTGGCACGGCAGAACCTAAAGGTCATTTGCCAATCCTAAATTCCTTTGGCGTAAAGGTCCTTTTAGGGGCCCGTCTGACAGAGGTATTAATTAAACTGTTAGTGACATTAAAGCCTACGATTGTCAAGAAGGATAATGGTTGAGTTTTGTTGAGTGATGAACTCCAGTTGAAGATAGAGAAGATACCTGGAAGGATGATCCCATATTAAATTCGGGAAATAGCTTTTGACCACTTTCAGAAAAATATTTCCGACAACAAAAGTATTGTGCTATTCAAGATTAATTCATTAACTCACGACTTATATCGAGCGTTGCTGCTGCCTCTGCATGTAAACCATAATAAGCAGGTTAAAATTTAGTCAGTAATCAATTAAATATAAGTCATGAATATCTCGCGCCATTTGTGATCCCAAACCAAGTGAACGCGAACTGCCGACAAGAGAGCAGGTCGAATTTTATTATGAAGTATAAGGAACACGCAGTGACCGGTTAACCAAACGGAAAGATATTAGGTGCGTAGAGTAATCAACGTTCCAAAATGTCTTCGTACAAAAATCAAATAATGAGTGGCAGGCGGTGGGAAGTTTTAGACTTCGTAGATGCTATGAAGCTATGGGAGGCAGGTTGGTGTAGATTTCTGAACGATACCGGAGACTGAGGGAACTAGGTAAAGGCGTGGATAGCAGAATAAGCCTCAGATCAAGATGTGAGTTTATTAGAACACGCATACTTAAACGGCCACAAAACACAAAGGTTTTCTGCTCGTAGTTAAAAAAAAGAAAAAGTGGATTGTTTCGCTTTTGTCGAAGAGCTGTTTTAGTGCTAGTGATAGTCTGTAGACTCTTGACTTCGTTTCAAATCAAATATGTGGGACCAAGTAGCGGTGCTAAAACTCGGCACACGTTAATATCATGCGCTCGTGCAGGACGTTTGGTCACGCGCCGGATGTGTGACTGCGTTCCAGCGGGGCTTTACGCATATCGCGGGCCTTTTTTCACGGGTCATCCAAATTAAAAGGCGTTGGTGAGTTCGGACACCTTCTAACAGCCGCAAATAAGTAGTAATTACCATGTCTAAAATGTATGTGGTGAACAAAGCACAATGAATACAAAAATCCGTCAATTTAAAATAGAAACATTCGTCGGTGGTGAGCTTTTAGTCAATGCGGCAAAGTGCCAGAGAAATATTTTCAGCTTCAGAGAGTTTTTTATGCTCATAAAAGCAGATTCAAAGCCTGAGCACAATTTTGGGAACGTTACTTAAATCCTATGATTGAGATAAGCTAAATTCGTGGTTAAGTCTACCAAAATTGGAGGGGTAACTTTTAAATGGCCGGTCAGCAGCGTCTCAGCGCCATAGATTCCCATCGTCTTCGTCAGGGTGATTGAAATTAAAGGCGCCACCGTGTTATTTGAGGCAGGCTTCACCGATAGCACTGGCAAGGTTAGTACCAACTCGCCCAACTTACCGCCTTGTTGTCAAGGTTAGTGCGAGGTAGCCGGGGAACCTCTCTCTCTCTGTCTGTCTGCGTGCACGAGCGCATGCCTCGTCAGTTCTTCTAACGAGTCTGCCTCAAATATGACGCTTGGTCATTTCGCTTCGGATGAGTTGGCCCGCAACGTCTCGATGTACAATTACTCCGGATCGCTCCCCTTCTGAGAGTGTGGATCTTCGGGTATCGGTGGAGTCGTGCGTCAAACGTTCGAGCGACAGGAGTAGCAAGGGCGTGGGCAGAGCAGTGGTGGCGCCTCCACCTGATCCGATCATTCCCCCGGCGGTTATGGTGCGAAAGGAATGTAAACAAAAAATTCGATTATTCGCCTCAGCGATTAAAGCGAAAACACGGGGCGTGAAAAGGCTGAAATTAAAACGTATAACGCAAATATGCTCAAAAGATTTCTGAGGCGTGTCCGCGAGTAATTTCGTCATTATGTCCGCAGGGAACACCTTGTCTTTTGTATGATGTGTATGGGCAGTGTCACTCTGGATTTAAAGAGACTTGCCGAGCAATCCGGCGGCCGCACGATGTATTCGTTCATTGCACCATTGAAGGCGGCTGTGACTTCGATGGAGTGAGGTGCCCGTTACCGAATATAAGTAACGAAATAGCGTCTGTCGTTAGATCGTTAAACGTTAACGGGTTAATGATATTTGTTACAGTCCTGCAAATGTAATGAAATACCGTTACGTACAAAATCTAACGAACGTTACTTTTGCATTACTTGAGATTTTAGTATTCGGTAACCTAAGCAGCAACAAACTATGACAACAAAGAAACGTTCCCAGAGCTATTGGGTAATATTTTTATCGTATGTTTATTAATTATGTACGATGCAGAGCGGCCCCGATGGCGTGTTAGCGAAACCATTGTTCATTTTTTTGTCAAAAGTAACGAGTTACGAGTAAATTTTCGGAAAATTCCTTTACTCAGTGAAGGTTTCGAATCCCAACGACTGCGTTAGTACGTTAATTCCAACACTACCGCGAAGTCACTCTTTATCGATTGAAAAGGAAATACTAATCGGGGCCCAAACGGGGTTTGCATGGTTGGCATGGTTTGCATTTTGTAGTCTCTACCGCCGCTAAGGAATAGTTTTGCGACTTACTAGTTTGCCGGAGGATGTATTTGTGAACACGCTTGACCCGCGTTCTTCCAAAACGGAAAGAGTCTGAGGGAGAGGAGGACGCAGGAGGTATGTCAGCACCGAGCTCTGGTCTGAACGATTA